GGTCAACCCGTCAGTGTAATGAAGGTTTTTTGATTCAATTTATGTTTTGAAATACAAATTTAGCAGACATGCACCTTTTTTTGAACAATACATTTGTTTTGTCTTAAACTTAAAAGAAAATCATTTCTGTAGTCATACATGGGAAATCTATACATATAATAAAAATGTAAAAAAACAGACCTCTGTACATTTTATATTTTTGTAATAAAAGTGATTGAGAGGTACTAGAAATAAGTAACTAAATACATTTCTACCATTTTTAGAATTTTGTCTGTCTGTCTGTCAGTTTGTTTGTTAACGTATCACGTATAAAGTACTAATTTATATCATAAGAATCATTAGGGAAAATATAAAGTGTATCTTCGTGTTACATTTAGTCTTTATTTTATTTAAATCAGTTCATTCAATCCATTTTCATCATCACTTTAACATTGATGTTCTCGCACTTCGCAATTACATCGGAAATTTTAGGACGTCATTGTAAGGAAAAATCTTTGGAATTTGGATTGAAAAAACTAGTGTGGTAGTGTGAACGTTTAGCGATTTCGGCAAATGGTCTCAATAGTAACACGTTCATGTACAGTAGTCGACTGGTTAGATCAGATTTCACTTGTCATTTGAATGTTAACACAGACTGTGCGTAGACTGTCTTTGTGTCCACGCGTAGGGACGTTTATTAAAATATTTTCGCCATCAGGTGGGTAAGTTAAGCAACACTATACAATATGGAACGTATGCGTATTGTTGCTGCTAATTTACTTATTTTATTCTATATTTAAGAGAAACGAAGAGTTTGTGGTAGCTGAGGGTTCAAGCGCTTGTCGAAAATTTAACAGTACGCGATAACAGATGGTTTTGATCTCCGCCAACACCAATGAAATTGTTAATTGTAATTTTAATTGCTGATTTACTACGTGCTCGACGGTAAAGGAAAACATCGTGAGGAAATCAGCACATCTAAGAAATAAAATAAAATATATGTCTCGAAAACATAAATACAAATCAATATATGAAGTCTGCCAACACAAATTTGTACAGCGTGTCCTAAAACCCTCTTAGAAATAAGAGGAGGCCTTGTGCAGCCTTCAGGACTTATATGGGCTGTAACTTTACTTCTCTTCTTCTTCTATTGATTCACCGTCAATAATGTCTTCCGAATTTCGGTAACGGCGGCCAGTCTCCACGGAGACTAGCCATCTGTGCGGTACAGGATTACAGATAGTGCCAGAGTGTATGCGCAAGCACAGGTGCACTCTATTCCCTCACTCTCGAAGTCCGATGGGATGATAATCCATCACGACCGGAGAGAGATCAGGCGCAGGACCAAACGGCTACATGCTTTTCGAGACACGGGGGTAAAGCATCGCTAATTTTCCGACTCCGGGCTGTTACTGAGAATTTCTTGATAGAAAACCTAATAAGCGATTTTGGCCTGACCCAGGATTCGAACCCGAGCCCTCATGATCGGCGACTAGACCAACGAGCCAATCACCATCAATGTTAGCGTCATTATAATGTGAGAATAGAAATGAAACATAGAATATGGCATAGTTTTATTTACATAATATGGCGCACTGCCCGTAACATAAATTCTTTAAGATTTTATTCACACATTATTGTAATATAGGCGCGAATAATGACAAGATTTCACGCTCAATCATTTGCAGTAATTTAACTTTTAAATATAAAATCCATTAACAAATAAATTTTAATTAATTAACGATACTTTATTAGTAGGACATATAAAGACATGTGGCAAGTGCATATCAGCAGTGAGATTGTGTAACTCTGGTGGAAATCCTGATTGGTCTTCGTTTGGACGTTCAACGATTGGTTTTGTAGCGTTGTGTAAATGTAACAGTTTCGATTATATGCTAATGTCCTTTTTATATTGATAATATAAATACAAGTCAATTGTTGCATGTATGAAAGATCATCACTTGAGAACGGTGAAATCTTTTGTGTGTGTTTAAGTAGACCATCCGGTTTAGATTTACAATTGGACCCGAATGCTATCGAGATCCAGAAATCACATGTGCGAAGCCGGATAGATCGCTAGATGATATATAAATTTAGGTTACAAAATATCATCATAAAGACAAAGCAACACAGATGCTGTGTGATTCCCAAGAGAGTTACACAAATTGCTCTGCTGTTTCAATTGTAAATTATTTTTTTTTTGCCAGATGATGATATAATAATATATTATAGGCGTCTGTTATTAATATCTACTGTTACTGACTTATTTCACAAATGTTTCTATACGTGACCTCATTATCCAGTCATCCCGTAAAAAAAAAACTATTATCCCGCTAAATGTAAAATAGGTCCTAGCAGAACAAACCTGCGCGCTTCGCGCTTCTGGCATGCAATAAGATGGTAAAACGATCTCATAAAGCATGAACCTTATGCGTTTCTTTTGAGATATTTTAAATAAAAACCAGAATTCATAAAAAATATTTCCGTATGTTTTCCTATTTTAGCATACCGGCGACAGCCAGATTTCAAAGAATGTCCTATTAACTTCACATAAAGTTGATCAGCCCCATTGAGTTATATGTACTACGTACTAAAGAAGCCATTCCGCACATTGACTATGTTCAACTGAACTGTAGTGCAATCCATACAAACTAAATATTGCGTAAATTGAAGATTTGTGAATTCCATAAAATAATTATTATTACATTTTATTTAGAAATATGTTTGTTTAGATTAAATTACGATATCTTATATTAAATTCTTATATTTATTTTATATTAATATATTATTTTATATCAAATTAAAGTCTTCGCGCATGTGCGACTACTACTCCCGCGCATGCGCGAAGACATAGAGTAAGACACAATTTTTGTTGGGAATGGCTTCTCTAGTACGTAGTACATATAACTCAATGATCACCCCTAATTTGACAATAGTTATCAACATTTCACTATAATAGCTAACTTTAGATTAAGTAATGTAATGTGGGAAGGTGTCAATGAGAAGAGAGAGGTATTGCTTGTACATACATAGAGATATATTTCCCACATTTATAAAATTGAACCTTATCGCATTTACAGCAGGTATACCAGTAGGGATTACTAAAACTGTAACGTGTACACATAAATTTGTGACGGTAAGTTTATTATATCTTCAGATTGAGTTACCTATTAAAAGAGTTTGAAATTTTATATAGGAGTATTAATATTTATGAAAAAACAAAGTTGTCATATCACACAATCACAAATAAGAATTATATTATTTTATTTATTTTAATATTTTATATAAAATATTTTTTAATGTACAAAAACTGTTTAAATATTAAGTACAATGATGTTGAATGTAACATGAAAATAGGTTTAAATTTCAAGATATAATATAAAGTTCAAGATATAGTATAATAAAATTATGATTAATAATTATAAACCACCAGCAACCAACAAAATGGCAACATAACGACATTTTTTTAAACATAATAAACAAGTCATACAAATTTACAAATAAACATTACACATTTGACAAAAAATCTTTTTTAAACATTTTTAATAACCATAATAATTTATAAAGAAAAAATAATAGGATTTATAATATCACAAAAATTTATTTATATATTGCTTTGAACAATTCAATAATACAATATAATAAATATGTTCGCGCACGAGGAGAATAGGATCGCGTTTGTGGACAACTTCACTCTTTATACATTATCTTCTTATTGTCAGCAAAACATGGATGTTGAAAAAAATATTTGTCAGAATCTACTGCACAGTGTTCGATAATATACGATGGAAGTAAAGGTGAATTTATTTTCGATAATGTTATTTTAGAAAACAAATAAATGCTGTTTTAATTGGAAAAATTATAAATAATTTTTCCAAAAAATTCGACGGCTCCGTGGCGCAGTGTCTTAGCAATCAGTTGTTGCGCTGGGGGCTGCGGGTTCGAATCCCGCACGGAACAAGTATTTGTATGGCCTATAAATAATTGTTCCGGGTCTGGATGTTTGTCCTTGTGCAATTTATGTTTGTAAACTGCCTCCACGACACAGGAGAAAATCCTAGTGTGGGGGTGACGTTTTTTAAAAAAAAAAAAAAAAAATAATACTTAATTACGTCTAACCACGATAGTAAATTTAGCACAGAATCGCATATACCATAACATCAATTGATAGAAACCGCCATTTTAGATTATTATTTTATTATATTATAAGGAACTCACAAGCATAATCGTATTTCTTCGTAAAATTTTTTGCATACCCTACACAACGCATCTGAAGTTAGCGCGCAATGCAAAGCTAAATGTCAGTTTGACTTCCCATTTTCTTCGTGCGCACTTAGTAGATACCAATTCTTTTTACAATAACTTTGGAATAAGCTCCTAGGTCAAGGATTTTCTGTTTGAAGAACAACGTAACCTTAAAGATTATTTAAAACACGATCAGGTGATATAAGTCGTGCCGGGCATAGAGATTTTTTTGCTGTCTAACCAAATTATTATTACACTAAAATATTTTATTTTATTATAACTTATAATATTACTTCGAGTGGGGCTCAAATGTCAAAAACGTTGACAACTCGATCAAGGTCACATATTGTTTCAAATCTTAATACGATCCAGTATATTTTTTATAATTAATATTTTAAATTACTATCCTTTCGTAAGTAATGTCGTTTAACTTTTATAATTTCTTTTCTGTAATTATCTTTTTCTTTGATGAAGTGTCCTTGTTAACCAAGGCATTAACGAGACTGGGACGTAATTATTCATCACAACTTTAGCCCTACACTATAGAGATAAAAAGGACATTTAAAAATGTTACATATCATGTTCATGTAGCAAAAGTTCTAACTTATTCATTTTGTCACAATATACGAATTCGGCGCTGTTGGTTTTTTATACACCATTACATTTTCACATTATAGTGACCTAAACCTTCTATTAGGAAATAAACTTCTCTTCATATTCCCTATCGCGTGGTCGCAGTTTCGGGCCTCCGTCCTAGAACAAAGCCCAGCGCTGGGCTACCGCTGGCCTTTCAGCGCCACAAGCTCGTCCAATTGAGCCTTGTAAAGTTGCGTCACATCTTGCAGGTCTAAGCGTAACTCGGCCAATTGCTCTTCCTTCTCGCCATACATTTGCAACAATGCATCATACTGCTCTTGGAGGCTCTGAGGAAAGAGTTATATATGTTACTTTCAATTAATTATTCCCACAAATATAAGAGACGGCCTGTGCGTTGGGTTATTATCGACATTTAGAGGATGTTGTTTTTAGGTTAACGTAAGCTATAGACTTCGATGAAGTCTCATAAAATAGAAGAGAACACTCTACTTGTTATTTTGTATATTGAAAACGTGGTAGAGCCATGTTGCAGCTATAATATAGTTGTACCGCGAATGGGTCGGCTAAACCGGGGCAGGACCACGATTGCACAGAATACCAGCGCAGCTTAATGCTGATTTTTCGTATGGTAAGAGTCTAAATCGGAGACACTTTTTACTGGAAAATATCTCATCCCACACCTTTGTTGCTGTTGGCCAAAGGTGTGAGATGAGATACATTACGTTAGGCCTAAGCGAGATGGTTATGCCGCTAGGCATCGGAAGTAATAAGATTTTTTTGGCGCTGCAGCGACACTCACTAGACAGAATGAGTAGGTGGTTTCTGTCACGCCGGTACCACACAGCACATATTTACCTACTGCAAGTAAATTTTTCTGTTTACTACTGGTGGACCTGGCCATTGGCTCATAACCAGCGATATTTTAATACAAGTATTACAATACATATGACTGCCCTGTTGACTGTCTTGTTGGTCTCAAGTGGTAGTAAGCGCAACCGCTGATTGTGAGGTCGGATGTGCTTGCGCACGTCCGCGTGTCCATGCATGTGCGTGTGCGTGTGCGTGTGTGCGTGTGTGTGTGTGTGTGTGTGTGTGTGTGTGTGTGTGTGTACGTGCGTGTGCGTGTGCGTGTGTGTGCGTGTGTGTACGTGCATGTGCGTGTGCGTGTGCATGTGCGTGTGTGAGTGCGTGTGTGTGTGTGTACGTGCGTGTGCGTGTGCGTGTGTGTGCGTGTGTGTACGTGCATGTGCGTGTGCGTGTGTGTGCGTGTGTGTACGTGCATGTGCGTGTGCGTGTGTGTGTGCGTGTGTGAGTGCGTGTGTGTGTGTACGTGCGTGTGCGTGTGTGTGTGTGTGTGTGTGTGTGTATGTGTGTGTGTACGTGCGTGTGCGTGTGTGTGCGTGTGTGTACGTGCATGTGCGTGTGCGTGTGTGTGCGTGTGTGCGTGTGCGTGTGTGTGTACGTGCGTGTGCGTGTGCGTGTGTGTGCACCTGCTGGTCCGCGAGCTGCTCGTGCAGGCGCGCCAGCTGGGAGCGCAGCGCGGCGCGCTCGGTGCGCAGCGCGGCCAGGCTGGAGGCGGCGGCGCGCAGCTCGCCGTCGCGCCGCGTCAGCGCCGCCAGCGCCTCCTCGACGCCGGGCGCCGACACCGCACCCCCCATGCCCGACATCACTGGCGGGGTACCGCGCCCGCCCTCCTCCTGAAATGAGGATTTAGACACCGCCTTTAATATAAAGACGAGCAGTGGGGGTGATGTGGCGGCGCTGTCAACACGCCACAAGCAAAACACATCGAAGCCTAAATCGCACTAACAAAGTTTCGAAGTTAAAGCAGCATATATAGAATAGCTCCGAACTACCAATCGGAGTGTTGGCCGCTCCCCGAGCAGAACACCTTGCCCGGCGGGAGATCTCCCCTTTTCCTTCCACCCGCCACACGGCGAAGCCGACCTTGCTCTTTCTGACCGAGACGCAGATGTCCTCTCCGGCTGATACTTCGTATCTCTTTGAGCCGGGGTACAAATTGGAACACTCCTTTGTGCCTCGGGCTGGAGTTTGCGTATACGTCAGAGAGGACATCTGTTCTCGACGCCTCGGCAGTGTTGAAGGTACGGACCTGTCCATCCTTTGTCTACGCGTAGACAGCGCGACCATCCGCGCGTCTACGGGTGCCTCTATAGATCCCATAGCGGTAATGCCGAAACAGATCAACTCATCACCACGTACAAATGGCTACAGATTCCTTGCTACAACAGATCCCATCCGCTGAGATCGTGATCCTTGGCGATTTCAACGCCAACCACGCCTAATGGTTCGGTTCATGTTTAACCAATCATGCGGGGAGATCTGTGTATGACTTTGCCTTGGCATATGGTCTGACACAACTGGCTACTTCGCCTACGTGGATTCCAGATGTGGAGGATCATTCACCTTCCCTGTTGGACCTTCTGCTGACCTCTCATCCGGACGAATATGAGGTTTCTGTCTTTGCCCCTCTCGGCTCTTCAGACCATTGTCTGATCTGGAGTGTAGTGCCACTCACGCTCCCATCGCGGTTGCTGGTGTTTGGCATTATAGGTCGGCTGATTGAGACGGAATGTGGTCTTTCTTTTCATCCTACCCATGGGGGCGGATTTGCTTCTCGCCGGATGATCCCAGCACTGTTGCTGACTCTGTCGCTTATATGGTGCTACAGGGAATGGAACTATTTATTCCATCATCTGTGGTACCCATCGGAGGCAGATCTCAGCCTTGGTTTGGTCGCTCCTGTAAGACAGCATTACGCAGTAAGTAGGAGTGTTATCGGGCCTGGGCTGAGGCTTCGACGGCTCGGGATGTAAACACCAGCGTGCTTAAAAAGAAGTATAACTTCGCCTCCAGGTCATTCAAAAGAGTTATTGCCAAGGCAAAGTCATAGGCACATATAGGCAGAATTGGCGAGAAACTAGTTCGCCTTCCTTCGGGAACCCGTGCATTGTGGTCTCGCGCCAAGGCTGTCCAAGGGAACTTCTGTAAGCCACTACCATCACTGCACAGGGAGGACGACTCACTGGACCACGCCGCAGAACAGAAAGCCGACCTTTTAGGCTCCCTTTTTGCGTCCAACTCGACTCTTGATGAGGGGGGGGGGACACACCGCCGACCATCCCGTGGTGTGAGTGCTCCATGCCGGATGTGCGGTTCTCACAGAGCTCGGTTCGCAAAGCACTCCTCTCCCTGGACATCCACAGGTCGAGTGGGCCTGACGGGATCCCCCTAATTATGCTGACGACGTGCTCCAGAGTTGGCTTCGGTTCTAACGCGTCTTTTCCGGTACTCCTCACCCGATCCCTAAAACAACGACCACTCAGACCCGTCCAATTACAGGTCTATCGCCATCACCTCCTTATTCTCCAAAATAATGAAACCCCTTATAAACTGCCAGCTCATGCGGTACCTTGAGGATCACCAGCTGATTAGTGACCGCCAATACGGTTTTCGTCGGGGTCAATCAGCTGGTGATCTTCTGATTTACCTGACTCATAGATGGGTGGAGGCAGTAGAGTCTAAGGGGGAGGCATTGGCCGTTAGTTTGGACATTGCGAAGGCCTTCGATCGGGTTTGGCACAAAGCGCTTCTTTGGAAGCTCCCTTTTTATGGGCTTCCCGAGAAATTGTGCAATTGGATCACCAGCTTTCTTGCAGATCGGAGCATCAAGGTCGTTGTAGACGGTGCATGCTCCGACTACAAGCCTATTAACGCTGGTGCTCCACGAGGCTGCGAGCTATCACCAACGCTGTTTCTTCTGCATATCAATTATATGTTGCAAACCGGTAACATTCATTGCTATGCGGATGACAGTACTGGTGATGCTCTATACACCGGCCGTGCCAATATTTCTCGGGAAAACGTCGCCGAGTACCGGGACAAAATTGTGTCTGAAATCGAGTCTTTGCTGAACAAAGTCTGGGTTTGAAGGCGACTAAATCTAGTCCAGTTTAATCCCCAGAAGACACAAGTTCGCGTTTACCGCTAAAAAGAACACCTTTGTCGTATCTCCTCAGTTTCAAGGCACTCCCCTTGCTGCCTCAGCTAGCATCAGAATCACTTGGTCACGTGGTCACTTGGAAGGGAAGGCCAAATTGGTCTCTAAAAAGCTTGGCGTGCTCAGCAGAGCGAGACAGTATTTCATGCCGGCACATCTCAACTTTACAAAGCGCAAGTTCAGCCTCACATGGAATACTATGGAATATAGTGCCAGCTCCTTCCACTTGACCGCATCCGGCGCAGAGCGGTTCGAATCGTCGACGACCGAGTTCTTTCCGATCGACACTGCGTAGAGATGTTGCATCTCTTTGCTTATTTTATCGCATGTACTACGGGAAGTGCTCTGAGGAATTGTTCGGACTAATTCCAGCCGCTCAATTTAACCATCGCACATCGCGACAGAACTCGCGATACCATCCATACCATCTGGATGATTGGCGGTCCACCACTGTGCGATTTAGAAGATGTTTTCTTCCTCACACAACTTCCCTGTGGAATTGATTACCACCGGCGATTTTTCCGGACCGATACGACTTAGGGACCTTCAAGAAAAGAGCATGCTCGTTTGACCCCTCTCCTATAAAACAAAATATTAGTCTTCTAGAAATTCTGCCTGCATTCATTGAGTTATTATGTACTACGTACTAGAGGCGACACTGCATTCAGTTACGCTGTTCCATTCAACTGCGGCAATGTCACCGCATTTTAATCAGTCGCTCGCTAGGTGCTTGTAGAGTTGTCATGTGTTGTGTTGATTTAAAAAAAATATCTTGATAAAATATGCCGGGGTGTGTTCTTAGATATTGCACAAAAAATTCACGAAATGTTAGTGAAAACCAAGGAATCACTTTTCATCGGTAAGTAAGATACTTAAATAATAAAAAAAACATTATAGATTAATAATTAAAAAGTTATTTCTTTGGCGCCAACTTGTGTCAAGGAATATAGCTTATGAAATTAATTTGTTCAGATACGACATTTCTGTGAGCAAGTGTAGGACGATTATATTATGCATATTTTTTTTTGTAGAAATAAATAGAGGTATTTATAATTAGGCTAAATGTTTTACGTTTATATTTACTGATTATTCTTTTATTTTATTTTTAGGTTTCCACGTCCAAATCACGAAAACCGAGAAAAGTGGATTAAATTCGTCAAAATAATCGTAACTTATAATTATTACTATACTAAAACTTATATTGTTTAAAGGCACTTAATTAAATTCCTAATATAAATTTTTGCAATAACATTTAGACATTTTATTAATTGAAATTAATTTTCAGCAAATAACAACAAATAAGTGTATATACGTATAATTCATGTGTAAACAGAAATGGTAGAAGTTTTTAAAGTTTTACTATGTTTTCTCACAGTAATGCATAAGGCATAATATAAAAAGTATCAGCTCTGTGTCCATGCCTCACGCGAACTTAGGTTAGGACTTATGGGGACTCAGTTTTAGATTTAAATGAATATATTTCATTAGATTCGATTGCTTCCAATTTATATAGTTATCTTATAAAATATTTATATAAAAATGTCATTAAAATGCTATTATGATAATATTATATACTATCATATTAATTTACCTCATATCATGCAAAATAAATGACAAATTATTAAAAATTGAACTCGTTTTAATAAATTAATTAACAATATATGTACTCTAAATAAACAATAATTAAATACCTACTGATCATTCTACCTAACATAATCTATTATGATAAAAAACCGCGCATTCGCGGTAAGACTGTTTACGGCGCATGCGCAACGACATAGTAGCGCACAGTTTTTGTTTGAAATAGCTGTTCTAGTACGTAAGTACATTATACTTCAATGCCTGCATTAGAAAAAGTTTACGAAGCTCTTGTGTCAAGAAAAATTTATAACCACAAAAAAAATTATTAGTTATTATATTATATATATTAGTATTTAATTTAATTAGAACATAACCGGGGCTTTGACAAAGAGAAATCACAGCGGTTTCACAATGGCTTTTGACTTAATATATCACTCATTTTCTTATTAAAAAGAAGTTCAGCGCTGGGAATTCATGATTCATTGTTGAAATGGTGGCAGAACAGAAACAGAAACTTTTTTATTCAATGTAGATTATAAATAATACTTATTGAAAGTCACTCTTATGTTTAATTACCACTGGTTCGGAAAAAAACCTCTGTCCTGAGAAGAACCAGCAAGAAACCCAGAGGGACTTTTATTTAAATAATAACACCTTACCATTATGTATGTTATACAATTTACAACACAAAACAGTCCAAAATAGTGAATCAAACCATAATCCTTCACAGTTAGCTACCGTGGGCAAATCGTTGTTACAGAGAGCACGAGGGATCTGTGACAGCAAACACCTGGCCGCCGAGCTTCTGCACTTAAAGCAGGTTCTGCACGACAACAAGCTTCGGATCCCGCGCCTACGTCACAGTGAAGTTAGAACATTCTTCAAGCCGCCGAAGAAGATTAGTCAGTTCTTACCATCCGTCAAGTAGAATATTCCTCTACAAGATGCAGGAGTGTACAAGCTTGATTGTGAATGCGGTCTCTCATATACATATAGGACAAACAAAACGATCTATCAAAACCCGCGTAAAAGAACACATAACTGACGTAAAACACCAACGTTTCGGGAAGTCTGCAGTTTGTGATCATATCCCAG